TCCATTAGGATACAGCCGGATAGCCCTCAGAAACGAATCACAGTAAAAACGCGCGGCAAACGCACGTATTCGATACGCCTAGGTGTGAACCCAGCCTTAGTCCCTACATTCTTAGCTTCATATTATTTTCCTAGTCCTTGAATCTTCAACTTCCATACTGTTTTACGCTCTCTTTTCCATTCTCTTCTAGTCTTTGCATGCTACGCTTACATATGCTTCCTTACAATTCCCCCCCCAGATTTCTGTATCCTCAGCTGGTATACCAGTCTCACCTGGTCCTTGCATCCTCGGGTTCCATATCATAATCCCTTAGTGCCTGCATTGTTAGCTTTCATATTGTTCTCCTAATTCTTGTATCCCCAGATCCGCTTTCTTTCTCTTTTAGTCCTTGCAAAACATTTACTGGCATAGGTTTTGGCCCTTTTTACTATTCTATTCAAAGCTAAAAAGTTAGCCAGTAAAGGAAACTTTCTGCATTAATTGATGGATAACACAGTGCAATACTCAACAGTATCAACACGAAAAGAAAAGTTGTTGCTACACATACTTTAGGAGCATTAGGAATGAGTCCTGCATGCTGCGTTTTCACACGCTACGGTCGGGTTCATAGATTCGCAGCGTGTAAATGCTCCTCAAAGCACAATTTGATGCAGGTTCACACAATGCCTCAAAAACATGCAGCACGCTTGGAGTGCCATTACTTGGCACCCCAAACACGGCCGTGAAAAAAATTTTTTTTTCCCCACACATGGATGCGCATCAAACGCACAGGAAAAAAATCATGACACGCTTGCAGCTGAAAATGCTTCATAAGCTACTTTGCCATGTTTGTTGCACGTGCAGCAGTCCATTGATTGAATGGGCTGACGCATGGCAACCACTGACAAACGCACAGGAAGTGAAGTGTGAACGGGGCCTGAATAGGGTTGCCACCTTTTCTTTCAGCAAAACCCGAACATTCTAGCGACGCGCATAAATCTTTTTGGGAGAATGAGTTGTGAATTATTCATATGTAAATATCACAGTGGAGACTATTTTCAGTGGGGGGCCAGTAGCCCCATCTTAATTTTGGTTGCCCCTGTCTGCCTGACATCATGTGTCCTGGTCTCAGATGCCATGAAACCCGGACACAGCATTCAAAACCCGGACTGCCCGGGTGAATCCTGGACAGGTGGCAACCCTAGGCCTGAAGCTGCATTCACATGGGGCATTTTATGGGGCAGGAATCCCGGGTGTCCCCATTTCAGATGCAGGATGTGCCCCCTGAAGTTAATGGCAGGGTAAGAGTAGCTGCAACTTCAGCTGCAATCCACATGTAATCATACTTAGTTGTGGCCGCATTTGAATGGGGACACCTGGCATTCCTGCCGCAAGAATCTATAGGTTTTTGCTGCATAAGACATAGGGCCTAAGACACAGGCCTCTGGTGTGAGCAAGTTCTTCCTTGTGGATTGGTTGCCTTACCGGAGGCCTGCACAGCCTAGTGTCAGCCCATGGGATCAATTACTATAATGCCTCCCTTGCCAGCTATCCCTGGTGATCTAACTGGTATAAAAGATGCTGATTGTTTGCCACGGGCAACTGCTCCAGATTCTGTCTGCTCCAATTTTGTTAAATTCCCCCGTTTCCGAGTAAATGTATACTGTATACCAGGCCTCAAAATTTCCACTCGCCATTGACCCTGCACTTTGCGTCACACTGACCCTGCACTGTGCGTCACACTGACCTCTGCGCTGTGCGTCACTATGACCTCTTCGCTGTGCGTCGCTATGACCTCTGCGCTGTGCTTCATACTGACCTATGCGCTGTGCGTCACACTGACCTGCACTGTGCGTCACACTAACCTCTGCACTGTGCGTCACACTGACCTCTGCGCTGTGCGTCACACTGACCCTGCGCTTTGCGCCACACTGACCCTGCACTGTGCGTCACTCTGACCTCTGCGCTGTGGGTCACTATGACCTCTGTGCTGTGGGTCACTATGACCTCTTCGCTGTGCGTCACACTGACCTCTTCGCTGTGCGTCGCACTGACCTGCACTGTGCGTCACACTAACCTCTGCACTGTGCGTCACACTGACCTCTGCACTGTGCGTCTCACTGACCCTGCGCTGAGCGTCACTCTGACCTCTGCGCTGAGCGTCACTCTGACCTCTGCGCTGTGCGTCACTCTGACCTCTGCGCTGTGCGTCACTCTGACCTCTGCGCTGTGCGTCACTCTGACCTCTGCGCTGTGTGTTACATTACTGACCTTTGCGCTGTGCGTTACATTACTGACCTCTGCGCTGTGCGTTACATTACTGACCTGGCGGAGTTAAGTCCGGGGCAGGGTAGGGGTTAGGTGGGGCAACTGGTGGCGAGTAACTTTTAAGGCCTGGCTAGTAGCTCAGGACTTGAAATTTTGAGCCCTGCTGTATACCTCTCCATAATGGATGCTGAAAGCATCTGGGCCAAAGGTGGGGAAAATGGTCCACAAACCTTTCTCAAACCTCTTAGCACTGCTGATGTTATAGGCCAAGGGTAGCCAAATGTCGGCCTTCCAGCTGTTGTAAACCTGCAAACCCATCATGCCTCTTTCTCTGGAAGTCTTCACACAACAGCCGGAGGACCACAGTTTGGCTATCCCTGGTACTGGCTAATTAGAGTGTCATTAATATACACCAGATGAAAACAGGTCTATTTTTTTCACATGGATGAATCTGTTGATTCAAACGGTATTACCTGTTTATATAACACTTGCCCTTTCAAGACTAATAACCAATTCAACTTGTGCAGATGGTATGCCTACAAAAATAGAACTCTGCCCTGGGGAAGAGAGAGAAGCTTCAATAATGAATCATACCCCGCTCAAACATATATAGCAAATATTCATTATTATATACTACAATAGTCTGCTTTGTATAACCCACTCAACTACTATACAAGCCATTTTGTTATTCAGCATTTAAAATTACCTTTCTATTTTAATCTGCAGGCTAGAGCGATTTTCTATAATTGACAAAAAAAATCAAATGCTGCTTTCTTGTAAGCATGGCAATACGGAGGATGTTCTGTACACTGTGTATGGCATGCCCACCCACCCACACTATAACTCTACTGTTCTGGTATTGTCCTCTGAACCTTCAGCTTGTCCCAACTTTCCACCTTGGTTCCTCGCTGTGCCAGCAGATCTGGTTCTTCTACTTCTAAGACGTTTCCTAATTGTGGACCTACTCCCTCATGTTCTTGCCAATCCAAATTTTAACTTTGTCCCCCTCTCAAGCCAATTGAACTACAGTAGCTTTAGAACCACTGCCTTCAAAGCCAGCTAATCCAGACCCTGACCTGCCATCCCTATACCTGTGCATCCACCTTCAGACTGGCTTCCACATGTGCCACCTAATCCAGCTCCAGACCTGCCAACACTGTGCCTGTTCATTCACTTTCAGACTGGCTTCCACATGTGCTAGCTAATCCAGCTCCAGACCTGCCAACCCTGTGCCTGTGCATCCACCTTCAGACTGGCTTCCACATGTGCCACCTAATCCAGCTCCAGACTTGCCAACCCTGTGCCTGTTCATTCACTTTCAGAATAGCTTCCACATGTGCCAGCTAATCCAGCTCTAGACCGGCCAACCCTGTGCCTGTGCATCCACCTTCAGACTAGCTTTCACGTGTGCCAGCTAATCCAGCTCTAGACCTGCCAATTGTGTGCCAGCACACCTGCATTTAGACTGGCATCCACATGTGCCAGCTAATTCAGCACCAGACCTGCTGGTCATGTGGCTGTCCACCTATCTTCAGACTGGCTCCCACATGTGCCAGCTAATTCAGCTCCAGACCTGCCAGTCCCATGCCTGTGCATCCACCTTCAAACTGGCTTCCATGTGTGCCAGCTAATCCAGCCCCAGACCTACCAATCCGGTGCCTGTGCAGCCCCCTTCAGATGTGCTTCCATGTGTGCCAGCTAATCCAGCTCCAGACTGGCAATCATGTGGCTGTGGATCCAAATGTAGTCTGGCTGCCATCTGTGCCAACTAATCCAGCTCCAGACCTGCTCATGCCTGTCCCAACCACCTATCGTCCATAAGTGTTGAGTAACAGTGGGAATAGCCTGCAGTATAGAATGTCCGATTCAGGCAGAGCTGACTTATGATGCCAACCCTGCTTGTGTAGAGCTACTAAGGGTTGGCAATACAGTATCTGCTACAAAGAGAAGCAGCTGCAATCCCCAGTCACCAATAGTTAGTTTTTTTCTGCATGAAAGTACCCCTGTGTAGATTTCAACCAGGAATACAGAAAAGATGATGCAAAAATGCCCTTTTTTTCCCAAAAATGGGCAAAACTGTTCTCATGGTCTTCATATTGGCATTCCCTGCTTACTTGTGAATTAGTTGTCTTCACAATGGAGTACCCACTCAAGGAATATAACAAGACAAGACAGGGGGGGGGGCAATGTCAATGAATGAATTAGCTGCAAATGAAGTTCATTTTGTATGGCACAATTTATCACAGAGCATTCATTTAGCTTAAAGAGGATCTATGCTCAAAAACTACAAATAAATCTGTATTTCTATATTGCATTTCCATAAGTTCTATTCCACTCCTAATCCCCTTATCCATCTAGAAGTTATTGAAGTTATTTAACTTATTGAAGATGCCCATAGGACAGGGACGGATTTCCCCCAAGGCCAACCAAGGCCCGGTCTTGGGGCAGCAGGGAGTGGAGGGGCACCAAGGGTGTGGAACTGATATCTCCCGATGCCAGGGCGGGTAGTTGTTTTCTACATGTAGCCCTGCTTTGGGCAAGCAAAGCTAAATGTACTTCCGGCCCTGGTCCAGAGGCCGGTTGTCACACGAAGCGGTTCCAGGGTGACACCCCACTGTGACGTCACCGCGCTAGTGTGCGATGATGTCATTCCGCATGCGCAGCGATCTTATTGATACCTGCCAGCGGCCATCTTGGTGATGGATGCTGGCAGAGAGAAGGGGGACAGTCACCCGGTGGGATAAGGTATGCCGCCGGGTCCCCTCCTCTCTCCCGAAACTGTTGGGCGCTCGGTCCATGACCTTTTCAGATGGGGGGTGACACCAAAATGACTGTCACTACCCGCACCTCAACTTTACTCAGCCTTGTGAATACGAACTTCCTGTGTCACCACTCTCACAGAGCCTGCCATCTGAACTGCAATTTAACAGCTGAACAATGTAACATTATCAGTGCTTGCTGGAAGCAATGCATGATGGGATAAGTAGTCTTGAGAAATGGAGATTGCATCACATCAAGCAGCGGGAAAGAGACGCAAAGCACACTGGGAGTCCAGGAAGTTGACGTCACATGGGTAGACGGAAGGCAGCACTCACTACATAAAAGGGATTTATTTCAAGTAAGCTTTGATTGTATTATCAGAAACAACTCTACTATGTATTCCTATTACAATGCTGATGTTATAACAGGAGAGGATATGCTGGGACTTTACATCTCCTTTAGTACACTCATGTCATAGGTCTCAGGAAACACTTGCCTCATTTTGACTTCCTAAGCCCATCTGAATTCCACAGCTTGGCTAAGGGCTGGTATACACAGCAATCTGATATCAGTAGGTCAGTTGGTGCTTGGCTTCTAATCCCACATACTTGTCAGTGTGTCTGTATAGTAAACAAGTCTCCAATGCATCCTAAACCCTTGTGTACCTTTAGCTTCTTTAACCTCCTATCACTCTCAGCTCGCTGTCAGTTTCTGACCGTCGGTTTGAAGTTTTGTTGCCTCCAGGTCTTCTCTCATGTTGCAGCTTTTCCTTGGAATGTTTTTCCTCATCTTCACTTACACAAACTAAAAGTTTGTAAAGGGTCCATGAAAGGTCATCCACGCTAACAACCATAAAAAAGACTCCAGCCATAGCATTTAAAGTTGTATTAAACTCTCAGACTTTTTTCAATAATCCAATTTAAAAAAAATATACATTAGCCAACAAAGTATTTCTTTATATTTTTGCTCAAGCACTTACAGTCACCATGTTTTCAAACAGCTCCAACTCTCTCAGCTCAGCTTCTCTGAACTTCATGTCCAGTACAAGATCACAATTAACAAGGGACAAAGCAGTCTCCAGCAGCTGTCTCCAAAGCGACAGCCAAAGCGGGACAACGGCCGGCTCCCCCCAGTTGTTATTCATTGGCCGGCACCTGCTAGAAGCCTCTAGCAGGTGCCGGCCAATAGGAAACAGTTGGGCGGAGCTAGCGGTCTCTGCTAGCCCCGCCCAATTGTTTTTCTTTTGCCGGCATCTATGCCGGGGATTTTTTACAAATTATTTTTAATTTTATTTATTTTTTCCTTTCTTTAAACTATTTTCATTATTTTTTAATTTTCCTACATTTACAAACAACTTTTAAAAAATGTATTTCACTTCTTTTCTATTCTGCTCGGGACCTCGGAGATACCAAATGCCGCTCGCCGGAAATCAGCCATACAAGCCAGCAGTGAATACCGAACAGCGTTCGGCTCACTTCACTTCGGCTGGGTTATTCACTCGGCAGTTTTGTGAATAACCCCCACAGTGTAAGTTAATGCAGCAGCGTGCACCCGCACAGACTCTGTGGAACAGGAAGAAACAGGAGTCAGCGCTGGATCAGAGACCGTCACCAGCGCTTGATAGACTCCTGAAAACTACAGTGCTGTTTCACATACAACCGATCAGCGGCTCTATAGCCGCCGATCAATTGTATGGGGTGATTTGTTCAGCCCGCGAAAACGACAATTGCGCTACACATGTTACATATCTCCACAAACGTCGGAGTGAGAGCAATCACTGCATCCAATTCACTGCATCCAATTTGTCGTTACTTAGTTTGATCACTATTCATCGATCCATGGTATACATTTTATTGGTATATGTTCATACGTTAAAAAATTTAAATAAATAAACTAAATAAATCATTTAAGGCCATCAATCACTGATAACACTAAACTGATGAGCGGTAAAAGCTTTTAAAGCGTCGCCTATGGCCAATTTTGGGTATTGTAGTTTTTTGAGGTTTCGCGCGTGCACGCAATTTTAAGGATTGACATGTTTGGTGTCTTTTTACCCGATGTGACCCCATCTTTTATATTTTACCAAAAAATTGGGTAATAACAAATGTTTTATAATTTAATATAGGGGAAAGTTATTATTTTATTTTTTTTCTGTAATTTTTCCTTAATATAGTAAAAAATAAAACCCCCAGTGGTGATTAAATAGGACCAAAAGAAAGCTCTATCTGTCCCCAAAAAATTGTATAAAATGTATTTCAGCACAGCGTTGCATGACGGAATAAATGTCAGTCAAAGTACCGCAGCGCTGAATACTGAAAAATGGCCCGGCCAGGAAGGGGGTTTAACACCGCGGACTTCAAGTGGTTAATGTCACTTTAAATTGCAAATAATGAACGATGATTTCATAAAAAAAACAATTATAATTATTTTTGTATATATGACTGCAAGCTTGAATGGAATAAAAACAAAACAGCGAATACATGTAGCAAGCTGAAAGAAAATACTTGTGTCTCTGGTCAGGGAATTGTAATACAGAAAATTGGAGCTCTTGTGAGTCTGTGATATCCATTATAGTTGTGTTATACTGCCCTCTACTGGACACAAAGCAAACTGACCACACGTCTTGGGATATGATGTGGTGCCAAAATCCAATCATTCTTACATTAGAACTACAATTTATTCCAAGGGGCCTATAGTGAAACATGAGCATTTTTCTCATCATGCTTAGCACCAGAAATAATGTTTTGTTGTGAAAATGTCTGTATCCCGGGATGGATAAAGGCGACTGTAGCCATGACAGACAGCAGGTTCAGGAAGTGGAAGCTAATAAATGAAATAGAAAGCATTCACAATCTGATAGATTTTAGCTGGAGTTGGGCTGTGAAGCTGACCTCCGGCCTTCCCTTCAGTCTTGCACAGTTGTAGCGGCTCCTCTCCTGGACTGACATGGCTTCCTCTGATCTCACTGCACACTGCTAGCTTCTCATAATGTGCATTAGGAGCTGCAGCAAGTCAGATAGAGCCCACCTCATTTCCTGGCTGGAGGACATCAAGCTTCATCTAGTTCTCTCCTCCCCAGCCTGACTGCCCCAAACTGCCCCTTTTATTCATTGGATCTCAGTTCCTGTAATGATGGAGGTTCAACATCACATGTGGGTATCACCTAGGGTAGTTTGCATGCAAATGCAGCCTGCCTAGGAACACCCATGCCTCCAAACTGATACACACCCATTAAAACATTTTGAAATTTGCACAACTCCTCCCAAGAACTCTCAACCCTGCTTGTGTCAGGGTTGAGAGTTCTTTAAAGGAGTACCGAAGAGGGGTGCTGTCATGTTTCCAGGAAACTATGTACAGCGCCCTGCAGGCACCTCCCACCAGCCATAATCTTCCTGCATTGCATAAAGAAGCACAGGGACCCATGGATGATGTAACTGGGTCTAATGTAATACAAATTAAGAGCTTTAATTTAAAAAATGTCTTTAGCTTCCTGATGGGGGGGGGGCAGGGAAAAAAATGTAAACTTCAGTTGTAGTTGTCAGGCCCTCTTCACACATGTGTTATGGTAATGGGTGGTGAAAAACATGTCTTACCATACATTACTGCAATGGTGACATTTAGTGAGAATCTGAGACATATACGGTCTAGCACAAGGGTGGGCAAGTCTGTCCCTCCAGCTGTTGTGGAACTACAAGTCCCATGAGGCAATGCAAGACTGACAGTTACAGACATGACTCCCAGAAGCAAAGGCATGTTGGGATTTGTAGTTAAAGGAGAACTATGAGGTGAGTGAAAATGACTCAGCCTCATAGTTAGAGCCGACGTGTGACAATGAAACTGTCACACGTCAGCTCAATACATCGGGATGTGAGAGAACACATACCGTCGCTCGCTCACTTCTTGATCACCTCCCTGCAGAGAGCCGTGACTGTTTCCCCCCCCCCTGATCCTCCAGCGCTGACTGGAGGGACAAACGGGGAGGGGGCGGGCACATCTGGCTCTGCCTCTAGATATGCAAAGCCAGCTGTCACTCACACAGCTGGGTGGATCTCGTCAGTATTGTCGGGATCTGTCCCGGCTGTGGCGGTCTCAGTATATCGCAAGCTGTAATTTACAAATTGTGTGCGTCCGTGAAACGGCGAAAAACTGCAGTACCCCAAAAAGTCCATAGAAGACGGTTTACATGGCGACGCGCGTTTACATGGCAACGCGCCTGCTCGCGGGGGCGGGGGACATTAAAACATTTTTTTTTATTATTATATTTAATTTTCATTTTAAAAACAGTTTTTTTTTTTTTTTTTTACTTTACTTTGACTGCTATCACATAGGGGGGCTTACAAGCCTCCCCATGTGATAGCAGATGGTGGTGACAGGTACTCTTTAAGGTGATGCTGGGGGTCCAAAAGACCCTCAGTGTCACCTTTACACTGGAAATAAGCTATTGAAGTGCTTATAGCTATATCAATAGCTTATAGCTGGGCTGCAGGAGCCCAGAACTGACAGCCCAGGGACCGGAAGTGATGCAATCTGCATCGCTCCCGGTCCCATAGAACGGGGAGGGGGATCGATGAACGGAAGTTCGTCGACCTCCTCCCCAGCTCCCCGCGGACACAAAGATCGCCGGTCCCGGGCCCGTAGGAGGGGCAACGGAGCCCGGGAAGCACGGCGGGGGTGTCCGGCGGGGGGGGGCGGCCCCTTCTTCGGGACGCAGAAGCGATCTGGCGACAGGTAAGTCGCCAGGATCGCTTCTGTTGTAAAGCCGACAGTCGGCTCTACAAGTTTAAACAGAGTCCCGGCGGCAAAAGTCACCGGGAGTCTGTTTAAACAGCCCCGATGCTGGCGACGTACACTGTACGTCGTCAGTCCCAAAGGGGTTAAAGCACAGCTGGAGGGTCTGAATTGGCCACCCTGGTCTAGCAGATAGGCAGCACAAGGGGCAACTGTAGCAGTGCACAAGGCAGGCTTGCAATGCAAGCTGCTAATAGTGAGGCAGTGAC